CCGGGCTGGTAGGTGCATTCAAAAAATACATCTCTTGAGGGAACTCTACCTTTGATAACACTAAGTGTCCTTATGCACGTGTGTCGCCATCTCTTTAGTGTGATTCTAAGAGATGGAGACCATGTCATTTACCTCTTGGTAACTCTAGCAACCAGCAAACTTCTCTACAGGGACAACATTCTCCACAGACACGTCCAGATGATGACAGTATGAACGAAGGATTCAATAACCCCTGAACGAACTGAAGGAACCCTTGAATGAACTGGTCTTACCAACTTCAACATGATAATGGAAACATGTACCTTTCACTTTCTGAGTTCTCTTATTTGCCAAATGTTTTGCCTGCTTCTCCCTATGCCCTGAAACTAATCTGAATTTTTTGTTATTGCCTGATAAGTACCGAAATATTTATATTTCAAAGCAATTTTGAAAACGTATGCAAGTTCTGCAAACAACTCTACATTTGTCGAGTTTTAAACCTGTTCCCCAGCAATGCACTTTTATTTACATGGTTTTATTGATTTTATTGTTATCCCAACAATAATGTTATGAGATGAACAAGGTAGGAAATTTGATCCCATTCTACCTGTGAGGAAGCACTGGTATGGAAAGATTAATTCAATGACTTACCTAAACTTAGTCAGCTGGATAACATTTTTCACTGGACTATGATTACTATATGAAGAATACCTGAAGACTGAGATGTTTTTTATTATATAAATTTTTTAAAAATTGCTTTAAACTTTTCCCAGTCACCAAGTTAAAATTGGATTACAGCGAATCTGACTTTCTAATAAGAAGGTAAACTTCCCTGACATTTACCTTTATTACCTGGCTTTGAGTCTGCAGATTCAACTGCTCAAGTGGGTTTACTCGCTCTTCAATGTGAGTTCCTGGTATGCGACATATGAATTCTCTGCCAGAGAATAAAAGGGAGCTCTAAGCCCAATTCCCCCCTCACAACAATCATTCAGAGCCATGACATTTTTGCCAGAAATATCTAAACAAGTCAATTGACCATATTTATCTTTTCCAATTTATAAGAAAACATAAAAATATTGAGTATCATTTTTAAGAAGCTATTTAAAGGGGTCTGTATTTCAATGTCTACTCACAAACTGATTTAGATACATCATACTTTCCATTTACGTGTGTTTTCTTTTCTAGGCAAAATAAGCAACTGGAATTTGTATGAAATAGCCTTAAAAATAAGGAAATTCTGTGAACATCAGAATCATCACCATCATCCCCTTCATACAGGGTGGCATATAGTTATCATCCAAACTAGACATTGTTGACAGTGAAAGAGGACACCATCAACAATTCTGCTATGATAACAGGTGTAAGCCAGGATTATCCTGGGCAAACTGGGACGAACAGCCACTCGACCCTTAGCTGCCTTTACACTCATACCATGCAGCACAGCACTGTCCCTACATCATCTCTTTGATTACAGTTATCACCTAATTTTTAAAACTGGAACCTTCTCTCCTCTTTCTTTTCACTGTCTTGGTTTAACCCCTGGATCCAGCTGAACTGCTAGAGATGCATGCTTGGGCTAAGATCTCTGGCCAAGAGCGTCCTCCTCCCTGCTTGTTTCAAGGCCATACGCTCTAAGTGGTTCTCACTGGGAGCTGTTCTTTGGTATTCTGTCTCTGAGGATATTCTCCTAATACCATCAAAGTGTCCCTTCTTATTTTTTAAGAACTAACAGGCAGAAGTTTGGTCTCCCTAGAGTGGTGTTTTCTTTTCATGGACTAAGAGACTTTTAGAGACAGTTATGCGTAGTCGTTAGGAACTCAAAGTGTGGAGTCAAATGGACTAGGCTAAATTTTGGTTCTGTTACTTATTTGTAATACTTGTATCCTTATAGTTTTCTCACCTGAGTATTGGGGGGAAGTTAACAGCACTACCTCATGGTGCTATAATGAGAATTAACTCCAAATAATGTATGTATGCTTTTCATTATGATGTAACCATGAATTTACCAGGAAATGTAGAATGAAATTTACAGTTCAACCTTATTAACTATGTGAATTTGATAAGCTTTTCTTGTGATCTTACCATTTATCCCATGTTCTGTTTTCCCTAACCCTGATTTTCTTTACATATTTCTCTATTTTACTAAAATAGTCTTATGATACCTTTAATCTTTTCTGAATAAAGAATAAATTAAACAAACAAAAAAGCACTATCTTCTGCGTCAGCTCCATCGGCCATTTAGTGCCCACATTCCTCACCATGTTTTTCTAGGAGAGAGGACTAAAAGCACGGCAGCCGTGCACACACAATTGCACCGACAGGTCCATGCAAGCAAAGAGCTCCTTCAGGGCATTTCCCCAGGTCCTCAGGAAATCGCAGAACGAGTCCAGGCATATGTTTCTTTCCTTAAGTATTACTATACTAGCTTACTGCCTTAGAATATAATTTTGTTCAGAATAAAAATTTTCAAAAAAACCCTATCATTTGAAAAAGTTAATAAAAAATATTTTTTCCATAAGTGTTCACAGTATGTCTTTATTTTTTATTTTTGTTTTCTTTTCCTTTTTCTCCCCAAGGCACCTCCCTGGTACATAGCTGTATATTCTTAGTTATGGGTCCTTCTAGTTGTGGCATGTGGGACGCCACCTCAGCATGGCTTGATGAGTGGTGCCATGTCCGTGCCCAGGATTCGAACCGGTGAAATCCTGGGCCACCGCAGTGGAGCATGAGAACCCATCCACTCAGCGACGGGGCTGGCCCCCCATAGTATGTCTTTAGAATGGATAGAAACCACACTATGTACAAAGGCTGAAATAGCTGTCATCAGCAAAAGACTTTGAAGGATTTCTCCCCCAGGCTTCCTATACACTTCCCATCAACAATGACAGGGGTCACCCTTTACACACCAAACTGTAGACTAAGCCTATGAAGTCGTATAGGCTCAACAAAGCAGATGGGCCCAAATCAAATGGGGTAGTAAATACCAAAAAGAGAATTTCAAAATAAACTGGCTAGGCTTTGTACTTAAATGCCCAATAGCTGTTATGAACATGAGAACCACTAAAGCTAAGAAATAAACGTTAATGGGTAGTCTGTAAAACTTTCCACTATATCCCTATGGTCAGCCACTTATAAAATATCTGTGTAGTTGATAATAATTTACTAAATTATAATAAACACTAACTGGCAAGAAGTAAAATCTTCTGTTTTAAAACTACGATTCTCAATATAAGATTTCTGCCCCAGACTCATAACAGCTCCTTGTACCTATTTAATAAAATACATCCTAGCTGTAAAAATAAGTTTGAGTCACTTTTTTCAGGCCTATAATTTGCCCTCTAAAATAGCAATTAAGTTTATTATCATAAATGAGATTCTGCCTGGGTCATCTTGCAAATAAAAGATGAAGTTACAAGTTTAACGAGACTAAACTGTACAGCAGCCTCTCTCCTTTAAAGGAGCGACACTGCCAGTATCAACCACGAAGGCCATGATGCTCCTCCCTCCTGGCTGTGATGACAGGCCGCTCTCCCCAGTGTGGGAAACGACAACACTGGGCAAAGAAAGACTAGGTACCAGTAGAATGACGGGCCTTTATCTGATTACTACTATATGCTGAATGGCTACTTGCTGGGCTTGCCTCCTATTTCCCTGGGTTCTAAAGGAAAGTACGATTTCGCTGAGGAAAAACAACTGGATAGAAATTGCAAATAAGTAAGAATTCACCTGTGATATGACCACTGGCAAGAGCAGCTTGTAGTTTTTGAGATGGTTATAGAGGTTGCATTCGCCCCTCTAAAACAACTTTACTCAAATAAAAATTCTTCTGACACTGTCTAAACATAAACACAGCAGATAGCTATATTTCTATTTCAAAAAAGGAGATAAAATATCATCAGATATGAGATTTCTGTTCTTACATATTGTCATCCGGCTCTACTGCCCTTTTCAATATAATGGCATTTTAAATTCAATTAAGAATTAAATGGCTACAAACAGCTAATATTAAAAATCAGTTAACACAGGGGCTGGCCCTGTGGCTGAGTGGTTAAGTTCGCATGCTCCGCTGCAGGCGGCCCAGTGTTTCGTTGGTTCGAATCCTGGGCGCAGACATGGCACTGCTCATCAAGCCACGCTGAGGCAGCGTCCCACATGCCACAACTAGAAGAATCCACAACGAAGAATATACAACTATGTACCGGGGGGCTTTGGGGAGAAAAAATAAAAAATCTTAAAAAAAAAAAAAATCAGTTAACACAGGTTTATGTGACTGTATCTGTATTTGTTTCCTTTATTGTTTTATTTCATATGTGTGATTATTTGATCCATAAGTGTTACCCCAATAAACTCGAATGCTCCATGAAGGCATTGTCTGGAAATGTGAAGAGAGGATTCATCAATTTAGGACAATCAGGAGAAACTATTTGGCTCTTTTTATTCTTCTCAGCTTGTGATATCTATTGAATTTTAAAAAATATTTTAAAATGCCAGTTTTGAGGTCTCCGGGAAGTAAAATGTTTAATTATTAACCATTAGTGATATTAAAATATTTATACGCCTTTTAGTTCTACTTAATTGAATTTGGTAGAAAGGAGAGTAGTGGAGGCAGCACTTTACTTGGCATGTAGCAGCATTATCAGTTTATCTGAAGAAAGAAGGCCTCCGACATAGCTTTCTTCTGAGACTCTATATGGATCTGTCTGAAATCATCTGTTAATGGAACGCTTTTATCTTCAGCCACTACAAGTCAAACAAGTCCATCTCTCAAAGTTGAACTTAATAAAGAAATCTACCACATTGAGTTACTCCCACAACAGGACTGCAAACCTGGGCTGCATTCAGTGCTCTGCAGTCCGTGTCAGTTAGAGCTGGTGAGCCCCGTGTGTCTGCATCAACATGTTCCTCTGGGGGTGTGCTACTTTCACTTCACAACTCAAGGCAAAAGGCTGGGAAATGATTCAGGATGAATAAGCAAACGAATGTTCTATAAGGCAGGAGAGACTGAGTCACAATTTTACCTGATCTGTCCACGAACCAGAGGTCTGTTCTTTGTTCTATTCATGTTTGAATCAAACGGCACTTCAAAAAACTGCAAAAAGATTGGAAGAAAAAGACAGAAAACATTAAATATAACATGAAACAATTCTCTTCTGCTTTGGATCTACAGTTTCTTACACAGTGAGTTTCATTTTAATTTTGATAGTACAAACTAATATTCTTGGTACTTTTTGGAGGAAAATTTTCTGGGAGAGACATATTTTAAAAATTATATACACTGCCAGAAATATGCACAGTCCCACTTTTATCCACTTTGAAAATTACTTGTTAAATATACAGTTGCATTCTTCAAAGCCACGGTTTCAGGTTTAAAGCATTAGTGTTGGAAATGATTTCAGAACCTGTCACACATCCCAACGCCTGTGAATCAACCCACTCTGGGAAACAGGCTACTAAAGTCAAGAACCGGGGCTGAAGTTATTAAGATCCCAGATGAAACTGTACACGAACCATGAGGTTATGCCTCGAGTAGGGCAGCCATCCCTCACTGCCTGGAGAGTTCTCCTTCACACCTGTGGCCCCAGCAGCATTAACAGCAACTCCATCGCTCTTGAAGCACCCCAGTTTGGACGATATATTGGTCTGGTCACCCTAACAATGAAGGACTGTTTCCCGTTTATCTGTTAAAGGACAAGGTCCAGGGGATCATCAAAATTCACTTTCCAAAGCCTTGACAAACTGCACGAGACGTTCTTAAATTTGTTATCAATGTCTCTTACCCGTCACCTTTTTTGGTACAAGAGAGTCTTCAAAAGATGTGCCGATGAGGTTATTATTGAGAATGCCTTTGACTAAATGGGCTTAAAGCAAATCAGTAGATGAAATGAGAAGAAATGAGAATTCAGTTGAAGGCTTAAGTCAGTACTTCCCCAACTATGTTCTCTAACAGTCGTGGAGCTGCCCTGAAAAGAACATCTCCAAGGTCCAATCACATGAGTATAATTCAGGCTCCGGGAAATCTAATTAACATCGCTTAGCCAGCGTTTCCCAAACTTATCTAACCATGAAATCTTTTTCAAGAAAATGTATTTAACAGATTTTGGAACTATCTGGTCTGCGTCTCTCCAAGTGATAAGGATCATTTCTTACTCAGGTCTTATGAGCCGTAGGTCTCTGTCAGGGAGTTGTATTCAATAGGTGTTCTATAAATGTCAGAAAAAGAGGTACTAGGGCTAAAAAGATAAGTCGAGAAATAAAGTAACATTTTGTTTATTTTATAAAATCACCTAGTACTATTTACTAATACGTAAATGTTAACATGAAAGAAAATTTTATCCTGAACTATTTGAGAATTTAGACTTTATAGGTTAAGACATCTGGTAAGACGTCTTTCCCTTCATTTTATAAAAAATCTGACATATGTTTCCTTTCTCCTTAACCTATGGTACTCGACTGTCTTTACTTTTTTTTTTTTTTACAATGTTTTAATATCCCTAAACACAATGATATCTTCTAATAAAGCGATTTTTTTCTTCTTTCATTCGCTTCGAGTTACTGTGTTCACTCAGAGCACTCTGGGTAGAGTCATGCTCAGTGAGGATTCCCTGTCATTTGGCAAGCCTAGGGTCTCACACCTGGCTCTAAGGACTGTCCTGTTGCCCATTTAGCCAATGGTTGGGTGTCTGGTATTCTCAGACCTCTGAAATAAAACCACACACCAATAATCACCACTACTATTCCCACAACAGCATAAGAGAGCATGTATTATATATAGGAATTATGAGAATAACAGACACTCTTTCAGATGGCTGACCTTTAGTAAGGATGGGCTATGCATGTTAAGCATTTTGCAGGCATTGTAAAAGGAAATGCCAGCTGAGTCTGGGTTTTCAGAGCTTCCTGGCTACAACTGCAGCCCTAAACGTCAGGGAATGTGCACCGCCTGATCTGCTCTACCCAAGGCCATGACTCCATGAGAAGTCCCCGATTAGGAGAGGGCAGTGCTCATTCTCCAGGTGGCTTTTTTGAACTGGATTCTGTTGCAAGCAACTGTGGCAGCTACTCTTTTTATCGATTGCAGAGGAGTTCACTTTACAGATATATCATAAACCAATCCCATAGAGATGAAGGTTCAGGTTGTTCTTCATCATTCTGTATTATAAACATCCCTAAACATGTATCTGCTTATGTATGCAGTTACTCCTGCAGGATAAATCCCTAGACTAATCCCCTCCCTTTTTAAAACACAGTCCTCTCTTGACTTGGATACACTACTTAAGAGCAGTTCTCCTAATTCTACATTCTCCCCATGCTCCTCTTTAGGCTCATTATTTAGTCAACACAATTTCCTGAGCACTTACCAAAGGCCATCCAATGAGGACACAACGGTTAATTCAATTCAGTACCTGCTTGCAAGAAATTCACTCTAATGCAGGGATCAGCAAACTAGAGCTCATGGACCACATCCAGCCTGCAGCTGTTTTTGTACGGCCCACGAGCTGAGAATGCTGTTCACGTTTTTTGTGTGTGTGAGGAAGATTTGCCCTGAGCTAACACCTGTTGCCAATCTTCCTCTGTTTTTCTGCTTGAGGAAGATTAACCCTGAGCTAACATCTGTGCCAGTCTTCCGCTACTTTGTATGTGGGATGCCTCCACAGCATGGCTGACAAGTGTAGGACAGCACTGGGATCTGACCCCAAGAACCCTGGGCTGCCGAAGCAGAGCGCGTGGAATGTTAACCACTTGGCCATGGGGCGGGTCCTTACATTTTTTTTAATGATTAAAAAAGAAAAACCAAAAGACGAATATTTTGTGACATGTGACAATTATATGAAAGTGAGAGTTCAGTGTTCATAAACAGAGTTTTATTGGAATTCAGCCACACTCATTTGTCTACATATTGCTATGGATGCTTTTATACCACAATGGCAGAGTTGGGGAGCTGTAACAGAGATGATATGGCCTAGAAAACCTAAAATGTTTACTATCTGGTCCTTTTCAGAAAAAAGTTTGCTGACCCCTAATCTAATGGAAAGGCTGGGATATAAGAACCCAGATAATTATAATAATGTGTATAGTACAACGAAAGAGAAATGTGCAAAAGATTACGGGCTCTGAACCAGCTAGGGAGGCAGGAAAAATATCCTTCAAGCACTCTTAAGTGGGCTTCAGGATTCAGCAGGAGTCAGATGACTTGAGGGGACTGGAGGGGAGGGAAGAGCGCGCTGGACACAGGGAAGCATGCAGAAAGAAAGGCATGCGAGGCAGAAATGTCATGACGTGCTTAGAAAGAACGCAGCGTAGCACAGAGGCTAAGGGCTTTGTGGATAGAGAAATCAGGGCTACACTTCGATTGCATCACTTACTCATGGCTGTGTAACCTTGTCTGAAACCCAGTTTCCTCACCTGTAAAATGAGGATACCAATACGTAAGTTGCAAGGTTGATGTAAGAATGAAGAAGATACTGATATACAGTATAACACTTGGCAGATAGAAGGGGCTGGGTGATGATACTTTAACTACCCTTACTATCAGTGTTGCTGGCCGGCTGGTGATGGAGCTCCGGAGGCAGGCAGAGAGCCAGATCACAGACAGCTTCACATGCCACGCTCATGGGCCATGACTCTCGTGTGGGAGATGGATTTTGGATAGATCACTATGACTGCCACTTGAAGGATGGTTTTGACAAAACAGACTGTAATGGCCTGGGGGAGGGATGATGAGGGCCTGAACAGCAGCCATGGCAGCGGAGAGGAAGAGGAACCAACATCCTCCTTTACCCTCTAACACATGGGCCTTGCCCACAGTGCAGACCCCAGCCCTCTGCACCCCTCTCCTATCTTTAAGTAAAACCAGTACGTGTGCAGCCCTAACTTTTCTCCTGAGCTCTGGTTTTGTAATGTCACTTGATTGCTGGTGTTTTTCATTTGGATGTTTTAAAATAATCACAAATTCACTGTGTCCCAAACTGAACTCAACACCCTTCCCTGAAAATCAGGTACCTCTCCAGAGTTCATTATTTGTCAAATATACAACCTTTTCTCTTACAACTCATAACAAAATCTTTAGAAGCAACTTTGATTTCTTCTATTCATTGGCCAACTATATTCAATTCATCACCAAGTCCTGATAATTTGGACTTCCTGATAATTTGGACTACTGAATCATCATAAAACTATTTGCTCAAAAATATTTAATGGAGGGGCCAGCCCGGTAGCGCAGTGGTTAAGTGTGCACGTTCCGCTTTGGCGGCCCGGGGTTCACCGGTTCGGATCCCGGGTGCGGACATGGTACTGCTTGGCACACCATGCTGTGGTAGGCGTCCCACATATAAAGTAGAGGAAGATGAGCATGGATGTTAGCTCAGGGCCAGTCTTCCTCAGCAAAAAGAGGAGGATTGGCAGCAGTTAGCTCAGGGCTAATCTTCCTCAAAAAAAAAAAAAAAATTAATGGTCTCCTCATTGCTCATTCCCCAACGGACTTTGAAAGTCGAAACTCTTTAAATGTTACATTGTTTGAAGGCCTCCCCGATCTAACCCCACCACTATTTCCAACCATACCACTTACTTTATTTCTACCCCTCTGTCACACTTGTCATTGTCTTACGAACACAGCTAAGGGCCCTCAGGAGTTGGAGATTTAGCCAGTTTCTAACTCTGAGGTTGGAAGAAATATTTAGTGTCTAGAGCCTTAGTTTCCTCAGCAGCAAATGAGAAGAACTCCTCTAACAAAATTGCTGTGAGGACTCACCATGTAAAGGACTTCTGCCCATTTCTCACCTACGTCTGCACCCATTGATTAGACTGACATCGCCCAAATCTTCACCTAACAAATGTGACCTTTCTTTCAAGACTAAGGTCAAGTTCAACTACCCAAACTGAAGCCTAAACCTCTGATTTAATGTGATCCCTACCTCCTTTCAATCCCCATGACACTTGTCTGAACCACTTGGAAACGTGGTTGCACCTTATGTGAAATTGAAATAATGCAATTAAAATAAACACCTGTCAAGAATTATATAATTAAAAAGGTAGCAAATCAAGTGAATAAATCTGTTGTGATTTCACACCATAGCAGTGTCACTCTAGTTG